CCCGTCTTGCGAGAGAGACACACACAGAGGAAGAGAGACAGAGACTTCGCTCTCGTACAAGCTGACGGAGGGATTGTGTGTAAGCCCGAGGTGGCACAACGCATAAACAGATGGCGGCGGTGCGTGCGCTGCGCCGCTGAAAGCTTCTGGTCCAAGCCGCGCCGCCGCCCGCCCGCCGAACATGAAGAAATTCGGTGGCAACATATTTGAATGTATCGTCTTCGTACTCTCTCTGCAGTCAATCGCATCCGAGGTTTCCTTTCCCCCCAAACTTAATTGTCGTGGAAGGGGAAATGGATGGACTCTGTCGGGGGTGTTCCCTTCGTTTTCTTCCAGAACATGCGCAACGGGATGCTGGACGCTGGATGTTGGATGTTGGCAAACGAAGGGAGGGGTGGTACGGGAAGACCGTAATAACGAGCAGGGGGGCATATTGGGAAGCAAGAGGGGCCGCCCGCCCGTCCACCCGCCCGCGCCCGCGGCTCGCGCGTCCCTTAGCTTGGCCTTCTTTTTCCCCGCTGCCGCCGCGCCTTCCGGGCCGCCGTAGTAGTGTGGTTGTCGTTTTTTAAGCTTTGGGCCAACCCCCGGGATGATGGCGCGGTCGAGCCCGGATTGCCACTTGGGTCAGTGTCACCCGTGCCCGCCCTTTGGGTGGCGCGGATACCCGCGGACGGAGCCATTGGTAGACGCTTTCACCAAGAGTGAGGATGTTACTGAGAAGATTTCTGGAGATGGCATTTGAGAGACTGGGGTTCGGGTTTGCAAGATCTGTTGCTGAAAGAGGTTGTTACCTGCTCTCTGTTGGGAAAGCCAGCAAGCGATGGGTGCGTTTGGTGTAAAGTGGGACAAACTTGGACCTGTTTGCTCTTGGGTGTTGGATATGCAAAACAGCCTTTGGACTCTGTAGAATGTGCTTGCATCCGGATGGAAATGCTGTGCCGGCGCATCGGTTTTGTGCGGCTTCCTTTGTATGCAGGCATATGTCTATGCAGCTTTGTGGGAGATGATGCTTGGGGACGGCATCGCATGGCAGGCTTCCGCCACAACATTCACCACAAAGGTCCAAAGAGCTTCACTGCGATGGCAAGATAGCTAGCAGCCACAGCCGAGCCCAGATATATACGTCCCACCCTGGCCCAACGTGATGCCACCAAGTCGAGAAGTATCCAGAAGCCGTAACTCTGATCATCCAAGGCAACATCGTCGCCGTCTTCGAAACCGCTTCAAATATTCTCCCAAGCAGCCAGCGCAATGTCACGAGAACGCTTCATCCCGCATCACAGCAGACCTGTCTACATGGACGAATACGGTCGCATGACACAGGACGCATTCCACTTCGACACCCTCCAGTCCTCCCTGCCCGTGCCGCTACCCAGGAACGGCTTCGTCTACGCCTTTGCGGCACCCACCGTCTCCAACGCCAACAACGGACGCTCGCCTCCCGTGTCCCCGCGATCGAGCGAGGAAGCCAGACGTTCCCGGCGAGGCCAACAGGGCAACGACAGCCCCGAGCATGATCGCAAGGACAGAAGCAGCCGAGAGGGCAGTCGTCGCAGCGCCAAGAGCCGTGAGGGAGATAAGAGCACCGCCAGCAAGGAGATGGTCAAGACAGCTGCGACCACCTACGACAACGCAGCGCGCGAGGAATGGCTGTTGGGGGCCAGGTTCTCGCTGGAGCATCTCCACGATCAACTCAGTGCGGCTCACTGGATGTACAAGAAGGCATACGACGACTTCGACAACAAGATCACCCCCGACGTGAGAGAATTCGTGCAGAAGGATACACTGGGGGACATGTGGGCCGACATGCTGCAGACGAACGCGCGGAAGGAGGAGGATGAGAGAAAGGCTGCGGGCAAGCGCGAGAAGGCGCCCAGCTTTAGGAGCGTGAGAGCACAGGTCAAGCATGGCTTGACGAGTCTTAAGAACGCCACTCGCTACGAAATTCCACCCACGGCCACCTCACAGGATCAGGATGGAGTCATCAAGAGTCACATCGACGGCGTCATCTACGCTGTTGAGGAAGCTTTGGAGTTCGCTAGAGATGCCGACGAGGATCATGAGGCCTGCAGCAAGGCCATCGAGAAGTTCATCTGGGCACGCAACCTCACCAAATCCAACGCACACCTATGGAGAGACCTCGACCTACCTACCGTAGCTGGCCCAGGTGAGCCCACCGACGAGTAACAACGTCAACCACAACTGACACCAGAAGCAACGGCGGATGACGGCGCTGGTGATGACAATAAGGAGCATGCCCAAGAGGAGGATACCAGCAACGAGCAGGCAGGCAACAAGGATGCGCAGTGGCAGCAGACGAAAGATTCGTCCCCTGTTGAATGCTCGGAGACTTGGTAATGTGGTCGTTGATGTTGATGGGTGAAGCTAGGAGAAGAGGGTGCATTTGGATTGTTAGTAGTATCCTTGGACCTTTAGCGATGGGAAAGAGCAGAGAGCAGCTTACCTGGAAAAGAAAAAAGTGAAGCACCGTCCTCAACAGAATGATCGGAATTGAATTGTCAAGTCCCCCGCCCAGCCGAAGCCAGTCGGGATCCCAGACGCTGCGTATCGCACTCAAGTGCTGTGCACAATCTTCGCAATGACTCTCCCAAAGGGTCACCGAGTCCAGAACCCCGTCTTCCCCCGAAGGGTATACACGAGGACGGCTGCGGGCCCTGCTTTTCTGATGCCAATTGCAAGCGTGAAGTCACGCCAGACCCTCGCGGGCAGACCCGTCATCCCACACAGGGCAGGAGACATTGGGTGGTAGTGAAGATGTTACTCCGAATTTCTCATATGCCATTGTGAGAAGACGAGCTTCCCGAGAAATCGTGCTTGCGCACAAACTCTCTGTTCGTAGCATAGAAACGCAGCGTTGAAGAGGACGGTGCTTGAAGAGAGGAAAAGAGGAGAGAAGTTGGAAGCGCCGCAGAAATTGCAGCCTATTTTATACTGTGACGTGGGGTCGGTTGATCTGTGACTCCACTGCAGCCTTGCATGTGAGGCCAACCAATCAACAACAACGGCAGGAACGAACCTTGCGAGGGAAAGACCCTTGGGGATTGGGCCCCCCACCTGCCAGATCAGTGATCTGAACCCCACGTTTGATGGGCCGGGCGCATCCGATAACGATAAGGGTCCCTGTCGGCGTTAACGTTGGTTGGTCTCAGTGTGTCGGGTGCTTTTGGCGATGGGGTCCCTTGGGTACCTTAGCGGAAAGTCCAGACCGCCAGCGAATTTTTCCAGTGGCTGAACCCCCTTTCCCATAAACTTTCGGGAGCACCTTGCGCCTCTTCTTTGTTCGGCAACCACTTCTTCTTCATTATCAGAGTCCCTTGGTGTTTTAGAAAACATAAAATAGAGGGCCCCTAATAGAACCTTGATTCAACCGCCAACATGTCTCTTGAGCCCAAGGATTTCCCTCAAATGTGGCAGAAGCCATCAAGTGAAGACCTACTCAGCACCTTGAAGCAGCTGGAACTCAGCCCCCCAATATGGAGTCACAAGCGCAAGCGATCGGAGATTGTTCACGAGCAGGAAGCCACGGCCTACTTTCGGCGAGAGGTATCGATGTACCTCTCCTCTATCATCAAGAGCGGACTTGCATGGATCGAGGACGACGATGAGAAGGAGGCGATTTGGACGGAAGCCAGCAAAAGGATGACGGAGCGTTGTGGACGGACAGGTACGTGAGGGAGACAAAACGCTGGAGCAATTTCTGACAGGAAGTAGCAATGGGCGAGATCACTAGGCGGTGGCCCTTCAGAGAGGATGCTCGCACTCCAACGTTTGAAATCATTATTCGGGAACCGCCCCTGACTGGCGACTCACTCGGCCTCAAGACCTGGGGCTCGTCCTATGTGCTTGCTCAGTACCTACCTAGTCTTGGACCTACGTCTCTGTTCCGTCTTTTTGATGAGTCACTTGGCCAGCCTCGCCCGCCCGTGTTGGAGCTGGGATCCGGTACCGGACTTCTCGGTCTGGCAGCAGCTGCCTTATGGAAGGTCCACGTTATCTTGAGCGACTTGCCCGATATCATGGAAAACCTGCGGTTCAATGTCGAAGCCAACCGTGCGACTGTAGAGAAGCTCGGAGGGTCGCTCGATGCGGGGGCTCTTACATGGGGAGGCTCCGGAGAGGATGAAGTTGACCAAGATCTCTTCGAGAAGAAGAACCAGTTCAAGGTTGGTGATCCCACCGGGCGTCTTTAACAATGACTGACTGATATCACAGGTCGTTCTTGCCGCCGATCCGCTCTACGACGACATCCATCCAGGCCTCTTGGCCGGTGCTTTTTCAGAGCAACTTTCCCTTGAAGAGGATGCTCGTGCAGTGGTCATGGTTCCGCTGAGAGACGAGACAACCAAAAGACTTTTGCAGAACTTCAGAGACGCGATGAAGAACCAAACACGCCCGCTTGCCTGCGTCGAGGAAGGAACTCTTGACGGGCAGGACGACTGGGGCGAAGCCGACGAGGGCTCTCCGGTAAACTGTTGGTGGGGTGTCTTTGCACGTCAGTCACTGGCGTAGACGGCAAGCATTTGTTGAAGCGAGCGATGCATTTGGTTGTTTGCATACTACACATTAGAAACATAGACATAAACAGGCGGGGGCACCAAGAAGTAGACCTAGATCTAGACTACACGATAGACAGAGTGTTTCCAGCAATAGACAAGAAGTCGGATGAAATGGATGCAATTACCAGTCTAGTTTCCTTCCCTTCCCCAACAATCTGTCAGCTGAGCGGTCTAGCTTCCCCAGCTTTGCTAGCTCCAACTGAATCACAGCGCAAACTGCAGGAACGATATCGTGGTCCTTTCCTTCGTGGGATATCTCCACCTCCACCACCTTCACTTACGACAAATTTCGGCATTCTTTTCAATATTTTCACCCTCGCTCACGTTCAAAAACAGAAATTCAATCAATCTTCCAATTAATCACCACACTCTTTACCACCAAATCCTTCACATTCTCAAAACCAATAGACACAAGCTTCAACCATGGTAGGCCAGATCACATACACTGAGGAGCAGATTCTCTTCATTCTGCGCTTGTCTCTCGAGGATGAGAAGCGCGACGAGATCCTGAGACAGTACCACCAGCGCTTCAACAAGCCCCTCACTGCTTCACAGCTTCGATATGTGAAGGGCAAGTACGGTCATGACCCTGAGTTCGGGTAAATGCTCTGCCCAAGGAACAAGCTTGCAGCGCGCCCTTTTGGTGTGCGCATATCAATGAGCTCGTTGTCTACCTTGGTGAAACATTTCACTGACAAAAAGCAGAACGGCGTTGATCAATGGAGCTCTTCCCACAAACGGTGGTGCCAGAAAGACAGCACCTCCCTCGCCGCCACCAAAGCAGTAAGTCATTATTCACAAGGGGCCAGGATAATTATCTGACCGAGTCACAGGAAACCCCGAATAGTGATTAAGAGGCCTAACAAATCCATCAACCAAGGTTCCTCAAACACACATTCACCCTGCCCAACTCTGCCAGGGCCAATTCAACACCATAGTCCTCGGCATTTTACCGCGGGCAATGCTCCTCTTCACTGCCAAGACAGCACCTTCACCGGATTTCCCCAGCAGACGATACGAAGCCAATCTTCACTCCGGTACGAAGCATATCCTCAGCCCACGGCTGTCGCGAACAATGCTATATCCAGCCATCAGCCACCACCCCAGCCGGACCCAGCCTGGGCGCTAATCTGGGATCCTGACCATCCTTACGGCTATCAACCCGTCCTGGAGCACTACAAGGCTCGATACAACTTCAACGGCCCAAGAAAGTTGGCCGCAAAGCGCAAGCGCGAAGACTCTGATGACGTTGGGGAGCAGACGAATGGAGCATATCTCCAAGAAGAAATCGCGGTCGACGCCAAGCGTGTGAAGATAGAGTCACCGGTCATGAATCTCCAGTACGCATACCCCGACTACGACCCGGCCGTTGCCCACAACTCCTCCTGGTATCAGACCCAAGTGCCTGAGGCCACGCAGATGAACGAGAACGTCGCTCAAGCTGCGTCGCCTCTTACTCGCCTACTCAACCAGATCGACACAGAGTATCTGGCACAAGGTGACTATGACCTCACAATGTCTACGGCGCCTAGCTTTTCAGCGGTGCCGATTTATCACGCACCCACAGCGGCAATGGCCACAGCTCCGAGCTCAGCCTTTTCCCTCCCTCAAATTGACTACTTTGACCCCTACCCAGACGCGACTTGGTACCCCGACATGGATACGAATGGGACCTTCCTGGCATCGTCTCCAAACTCTTTGCCCTCGCTGTCCAATCAGACTTTTGGAGTCTCAAGTAACGAGACAACGTCCTCGTGGACGACCCCATACCTCGATAACATGAACAAGGACGGCTGGCACAACACCTCCAGCCCCTTGGAGAATTCCCTCCTCAACACACCAATGTTTGATCCGGCCTTGAATCAGGACTTGACTCCGTACATGGACCCGGCTCTCCTCGAAAACATCCAGAGTGGCGCAGAGACGGGCCAGACGCAAGGTTCTGATCATGCCGTCAAACAGGAAGCCGACACGATGCGTTCTGACGAAGACGGCACCTTCGACTGGGAGGACATGTTCGATTTTGGAAGCAGCACGAACGATGAAGGTGGACAGTCTCGGGATTGAATTTTCGGACAGAACAGGAGGTGACTTGGATCAATATCATATACATTGGGAGATTGGTGCAACGGGGCACGCACATTGCGCGAAAGTCGCACATTATCTCTGGAACAGTAGTCGAAGCAGGATCAGTCGACTTATGCAAATGGATGGGCTTCCTACTCAGTTCAGGATCGCCGTAGAGGACGGTAAATGATATAGATGAGACAGGGGTTAGGTAGTCATTGCGACATAAACTATATAATTTCTCTTTGGGACAAAGACACGATATCCATCTTGGCGAATGAAGAAACGAATGATGATGGCCCTTAGGCTTGCCTCCCTCCTGCTCTCACGCAGCACAAAAATCAGTTGCGATTTTATAGCCCCCCAAAAACATTGCCCAAGCTCCGGCGCCGAAATTCATCTACGAGAGGGTATCTAAGTGCAGCAGAAACGAACAGACGGGGCCGCTTTCCTCCCGAAAAAAAACAAAAAAACGTGATACCTTCTCCAAGCTTAGATAGTTGTTTGCGTCCAATGAGTGCCCTCCGCTTTTTGCCCTGTATGGCGTATATGTGTAGACTGGCAGTGTTTTTCATGGTAATTATGAGTGGAAGCCCAATGTGAAATGCCAATAGAATGTGTCGTTAGATGCGTGGTACAAATGCTCAAATGGCAATGCTGACTGTTTTCCTAGAGTCTCCCTCTTCTGTGGGGAAACTGAACACCAGTTTGTAGAGGTCGCGTAGAAAGACGTATTGGGCAGCACGACCGGCCATGTAGTTGACACTCCTCGCCATGTCGTTTGCCGCGATGCGCTTTCCTCGAATCGGAAGCAACGAAGATCCGCGGAACGATGCATCCGCCTGTACGAGGTTCTTGTAGTTCTGCAGCAACGTAGCATGAGCCGGGAGGGAACCGAAAGAACCCGTGGGCATCTGCTTCACGAAGGCCTGCAAGGCGGCCTTCTCGGATTTGTTGTCGAGGGCTGGATCTCGGGCGTAGCCAACATTCATAGCCGCCTTGATAACGAGAGCCTTGATTCTACTGGTGTTGCTGTCGTCGCCTGCAGTAGTTGTCGTGGCCGTGCTTGATGTCTTGTTGCTGCTTTGCGAGTAGCTTGACAGCTGGGAAGCGCTGCTCGACCACCGGCCTCCACGGCCACTGTCGGAGGTGGTACCGAGGACCAAGATGTTGGGGACTCGTGGTGATTGACTCTCTGGAGAGATTGGGGTGTCTTCGAATTCCGTGACTGGAGTCTCGGGCACTGGAGGAGGCTTCCTCGTGCGCTCCTCTACGACACTCTTGTGGCTTTCTCGCTTCGAGTAGGAAGAACGGTTGGATGCTCTGCTATCTCGGCCTGACGGCTGTTCAAAGTTTTGCTGGTGGCCGAAGAAATTTGTCTGACTTGGCCTCGGGGTGTTGCGATCTGGACGGACTTGAGTCCATCCATCTCTGAAGAGATCGCACAACTCCCAACAAGCCTGTACTGCTGACCCCAGGAGTTCTTCGTCGGGGGCCCTTCCATCTCGCCTGTTCTGCCTCAAGCTGAAAAGCATCTCGGCTAGTGACCAGCAGGCTTTCAGTAAAGAGTCGGTCTCCTCAGCCAACTCGCTTCGTTGCTTCATCAGCCGATGACAAAGCGTGATGTAGAAATCCAGCGTTCGTTCCCGAAACTGTTCTGGCAAATTTCTTATATCCTGAGCGCTGTACAGACTGTAAGAGAGTTAGCATGCATCCATGCATGATACCGTTACCCGCTCGTACTCACTGGTTATTCAGCTCGAAGCTAACCCGGAGGATTGAATCGGCAACTTCATCCTTCTTCTGCCGTACATCGAAGAGTGATTGACAGAAATCACGGCAAAGATCGAGATTCTCTCGTACGTTGTGACCATACAAGTCCTCATCTTGGTTGTCATAGAGCCTTTGGCAAAGCTTCCAACAAGCCATCCACGCCTTCTCGTGTGCGTCCGGAGTTCCTGAGCTGTTGAAGACCCTCATCCGGTGGATAGAGCTAAGATTTGCCAAAGTGTTGCATAGCGTCCAGCACTCGTGAAGTGCAGTTCGTAGTGCCGTGATCTCTTCGGCCTCATACGGCAGACCGGGGGTAGCGTAGTCTTCATCGTAAGTTTCGGCGTCGGTTTCTTCTCCTCGCCTTTCATCGATTTCTGATCCATATTAGTTAGAACCATGAGCGGGCGACAGAACCAAATACGTACTCTCGAGACTGCTAGTGCTGCTTGAGCGGAGCCTGGATGACTCGCTCAGCATATCTTGCAGATCCTGTGCTCGTGGCGTAGCACTGTCGATGCTGTAGCGTACAGGCCTAACATCCGTGGAGAGTGGAGGGGGAGTGGGCAGTCCGGGAGATCTCGACTTTGTGAATATGGTCAGCCACCTGTCTCTCTTGAAGTCAGTTGGTAGCGCACCTTGGATGCATGTTCTGTAACAGGCGGAAGGCTCATTGTATCAGTCTTCGGCGACGTTCTGACATCAGCCTTCGCAGACTTTGCAGACCTCGGTGAAGACTTCGCGTCAGACTTTGGCGATGACTGCTCGCTAGCCTGGTCCGGCTTGACAGTAGGGTCATTTGAAACCTGTTCGAAATAAGTCACTGGTCATCTGATATGAGCCAGTTGCGACTTACCCAGCTGTGGAAACTCTCGGGCGCATGTATGACCGAAACAGCTTCTTCGCTGCCAGTCTGTCGAATGTGATCGGGAATATTCGTGGTGAGCATCACGAGCTGTCACATGTCAGTACTATTACTATACACCATTTTCCGCGGGTCAATCTGCATACCTGGGGGTGAGGTAGAGGATTGGCAATTGTTGGTCGAGCCTGAGCTTCTTCTGCTTCTTCATCTTCGATTTCCGTCGTCTCTGTGCCAGTCGAGGTGACAGGTGAAGGTCCAACAATATCGCTTGGGCTCATGAGATGCATGCCGCTCGACATTCTTTGCATGGAGTTCGGTCGGAGGGAATTAGAGTTTGACTGTTCTGAAGCAGCTGATGACCTGGCGAGGCGTGAGTGCTTGCTCTGCGAAACTTGAGATTTACGTAGCTTACATGCTGGAGAATGGCGATTGGAATGATCCGTTGTCTGGAGAAGAAACGGACATCTCGTTGTGATGCGAGTAGGCCGATATTTGACTTCCAATAGACGATCGCAGGGGCGCTTCGAGTGCCATGATCAATCTAAAGTCCCTTTCTATAATGACTTCCTAGTCTTTCACGACCTCAAGGTTTGGGTTTCAGGCGAACTGCGACGGCGGATGGTAGTCGAAAGAATGCCTCGGGAGCTCAACGCAGCAGAGTTGTAGGTTGACTAGGCCGTCTCCAGGGCCGTGCTGGCTGTTGGCCTCGATCCTAGAGGCCGTCGAGGCGAAGGATCAAGCTGTGCTGGATGCTCGGGTCTCGTTGACGACGGCCTGGGGATCACCAAGCTTCGAGACGAATAGCGGCTGGCTTGAAAACGAGAGAGCTCGAGAGAGCGAGGGTGGGGAGGACGGTTTAAGAGGAGCTGTGCCTACTGCTACCTCAATTCTGGGTTGAGGAATGGTAGGATAGGGAACCGGGGGCCCTGGTTGTTCTTGTCTGTACCTCGCTCACGCGAAGTATCGACAGGGTCAGGCGGGTTTGGCAGCGTCGTGGCGGGTCTTCTGCGCTTGCTGGTCGGACGGCTAGGGGGGACGGGAGACCCAAGCAGCAAGCAGTATTACCCGTGGTTCTAGCTTCTGAAGACCGAAGGATAAAATTATGGGGCGGAAGCGTTGGAACGACCTGCGGGCAACGCGACTACCGCTTCGAAGGGGGATGGAAGAAAGTGAGAGGACGAGGAAGCACTGAATCAGGCTGAGCTGCGCGTGGCTGCGATTATGCTGCAATGCATCTGTAGGAGGGGCGGTTGAGAAGACCTGCGGCTAAGATTCGACGAAACGGATGACAAGCACGGCTCCACCGAATGCCTAGTCGTCCAGTCGGTCTCGCGCAGCCGGGACAGAAGACGAAAGACGGGCAGACAACCAGGCAGGACAGACGACGGCCGATGTGGATGTCAAGCCTGTGCCGCACAGGGTCCTAAGACTCAGGGTAGACAGAGCTTGGTAGCACAGGTCGGAGGTGATGGGACGGCAGCAAAGCGTGGAGTTGTTGCAAACGAAGAGACAGAAGTGAGTGCCCTGCGTTCCGTGACCTGAGTCGATGGTAAGGTACCCGGGACGGTGCAAGACAAAGATGACGGACGAGTTGCAAGCTAGATGAGACAGATGTCAGAGTTCTCTGGTGTTGTCTGAATGGCTGGTCGAATTTCGGCCCGCCTTATGGACAGGCACCTCACATGGAAAGAAGGGACCGAAAGCAATCGGCTCTGGCTGTGCTGGCCGAATCATAGATGAGCAACTCGGCAGGACAAACGGAAAGAGGGTGTTGTTGGCATGTCCATCAGTCCGTCAGGTTCGAGGACTACAGCGTGGGGACAGAAAAAAAAAAAAAAGGACGGGAGGCGTTGGGACCCGGGCATGATCCAATCCGCGGGCTGCGTGGGACTGGACTTGTTCGGCCTCTTCGTTCTCTGACCCAAGAAAGGCTCTAGAGGGGCGGTTGGTAGGGCAGGCACTTGCAGGCATCTTGGGAGGCAGAAGGAGCCAGTGAGATGTGCAGCTGCGCGTGTTTCCCCAAGGACATGGCAGACACCTCCTGACGGGTTCGACCAGTCAGACGTGAGCACAGCGTTGTGTCGGTGGATGAGAAGAGCATCGTCGAGCTGTGGGCTGCATGAAGCAGACAGGCGTCGGCGCTTAGCAGAGGTGGGCGTCGCATCCTCCAGCGAACCACGACCTGCCCTGGCCATGCGGTAGCCCCACATGGCCCCCGGAGGTGGAGGGCATCTTAGTGCTCGGAGGGGAGGGGAGCTTGGGAAGGGAAGGCAAGCCGCCTTGAAGGTAAGAACATGAACGTTGAACTAGTTTCAGTGCACAGGTGTAAATGGCTGCTTTCCTCCGGGTTACAACGTGGCTCAAGCATCGGTGCTGTTGTTGGCGGTACTGAACAAGGTGCCCGCCTCCATTCATCACAGTGAGCAGTCTCAATTCCAACGTGTCGAGTGTAAGACAGCCAGCCATGCCGCATCTGTCCTCCTTTCAATGTCTTGCCTGGCTGTCCACAGTCTGCGTCAACGAGACGAGATGAGGTCGCAGACTCAGGTCCTTAGGCCGAGCCGGTGTGTTGGGCCCGACGGTATCGACCGTGTCTGCTTGGCTGAGTTGGGACTTTTGTGCCCTTTTCGATTGCTTGCAGCGTGCCTGCTCCTTCTCGTACATCAAGGGTGGATGGGCGGATATCTCGCAACAACCTTCTTCTCGTGGTCCCCTAGCCACCATTCAGACATTCAAACACTGTCATGGGCCAATCCACTGATGCCGTGTCATGGAAGACGCGAGCACTCAGTCACGCTTCCTCCAAGTGCGTCTGTGTTGCGTTTGGGGGCGATGACACGCGTGCGTGTTCATGTGAACGGCTCTGCCCGTCCGTCATGTCTTCAGCCTGTCTCGGCCGCCCTTTGCCGCCCTGGTGAGATGGTGAGACCGATGGGAGGCTTCGCTTTGCTGGGCGCGGGGACAATTGTTGGAACCTGTATACTTTCACATACACCTGCACTAGCTCCAACACACCTTTCTTATTTGCTGACTCCAAACTGACGGAACCGAAAGTGGCCTCGACCGCGATACTCGACAGGGGGGTTTGCTGGTGGTGGCCCGAGTCGGTCGGTCAACAAACAACCAGTGGCTGGGGCGGGCATTCTCTTCCTATTGTCCGAACCAACGTGCTACTGCTATTGCTTTGCTTGGTGATAGTCTGTCTGCCTAATCAGGTCTGGAGGCGTTAGGCCTAGCGTTATCCGAACTCTTGGTAAGATGTAGCTCAGTTAAACTCGGAATGGATTATGGTCGTGAGGTTGGACCTACGTTTGTATCTTGTCGTCTGTGACTTCTGCCTATCAGCCTACATCTCCATACTTCGTCCTGGGTATACTCACTACCCAAGACGATTTGCGAGTACCTTGTCTGTTCCTGGCCGCTCCTAATCAAATCTCCGCTTCTTCTATTCATGGTAACAGCAATTCCGACGATTTGGGCCAGCGGCCGTTTTTCTCGCTGTTGGAACGTCTTGGAAATAAAGTGGACCCGCCCTCCCACTGATCGACCTCCCGCCTACCTCACTGACACGCCAACTCTGACAGGGCACACTGGCCTCCTGTTTGCGCTGGGGGAACAAGCCCGGACCCAGTAACGGCTTCGATCCCTACTGGTACGGCAGGTACGTATTTCCCATTTACCTCCCGTTGCAACTGTTGGTTCTCCGACTGAGAGTTTGCCCTTGCTTCTCTTCTTGTCACTTGACGCTCTCTCTCAATGGCTGTTGTCGTGCCACATTTCTTTTCCACCTCCAACCGCATTTATCCCTCATGCGTGATCGCAACGATAGTTGACTATGGCAACTAACTGACCGACATTCCAAATGCTGGCGAGTTCAGAGCCGGGGAACCTCCGGGACGGACGTGGGAAAGGGTCAAGAGCCACCAAGGCAATGGACAGCTCCAACACGGCGTCCTCCAGTCTCCTCGGGATCATACGGCGGAACGAACATTCCTATTGTTGGCAAACTTGATCCCGGTCCCAGAACCCGGAAATACGGAATCATAAGGCGGACCAGCTTGATTCCAGTTCATCTCGAAATACCCGCGGCCCTGGCCAAGTTCCCTGGCAAGGTGTCGATGTCCCGCAGCCACAATCATCACCTGATCAAACCTCGCTTCCCAAGCTGTCCCGAAACTCGGGTCCATGTTTCCTGCCGCATGCTGTTGGCACTGAGCTCGCCATGGCATTCTCTGTCATTCTCGTCATCCTTGATGAGTTCCTTCCCAGTTGTTCGCCTAGTGCGGTGACAACTGTCGGTGCCTCCCACTGATCACAGCGCTAGCAAATATTCTGGTAAACAAGCGGAGGTGACCCCGGCGATGTGGCGGGGTGCCAGCTCCAGGACCCAGGAATCTGTATACGGGCACCATTTGCTGATCGCCGATGGAGGAGGGGTGATGGGGTTGTACTTCACACCATCCCAAACCCTCGTCTGCGATGCCTGGAAGGATCAGCTACGATGCTCTATATCGCCCGGCTGCCGCGTTTCCTGATTCTCTGATATCGCAGAAGATTATCAAAAGCCTCGCGGAGTATGCATGCTACTTCTCCGGCCTTCCAACACCACACAGCCTGCTCCCGACTCGGACGCCGACATATGGATCATGGTTTACTGGGGTCGGCGCTGGTATCCCTGGCGCCACGACCGCATCACGCATGCAGGCCAACGCGCATAGGCGCCAACAATTTTGTTCTATGAATTGTTACGGCTCAGTCTTCCCATTTCGGGCAACGCCTCCATTCTGTGTGACCGATAGGAAGCTGAGCTTCTCTGCTCTCTGGGTCTAGCGAGCCACTCGCAGCAGCCATTGCGCGCCAGTTGGATCCTCCATCGCGGTTACGACGGAGTCATCTTGCGCGAAAGAATCAACTTCATGGGTGGAGCTGTGGGATTTGATCCTAAGTTTGTCTTCTAACCGTTGTTTGTTTACGCACAATGCATCCATCAGGCGGACTTATCTCCATACTCTGCATTTCGTGCGTCAATACAGGACGTGTGGTACTTCCCTGCGTCCCACCGACAAATCACTACCTCCCATGAAATGAAGACTAGGCCCCAAGGCCGCGGATGTTATCCGGTTCTGGAAAGTCTGTTGGTGCTCTTGGTGCTCTTCGCGGCAAAATCGCCGCGTCAGTTCCAGTTCCTCGGGTTCTTCAATCGGCCACCGGGCTCATCCTACGCCTTCCGCAGCAACTTTGCTCCCATTGCTAGCCGACCCATGCGGTTGATCATATACGATGATTCGCATGGTTGAGGAAGACGATGAGCCTCGGCGGAGCACTCAATGCACCCACATCGACCAGCAGACTTTTCAGGCAGCAATTGGCAAGCCTCTTGGACTGATGGACTACAAAGACGCATTGTCTCATCCATCTTACGGGGCTCTGATCAATCACTGGGGAACGACGTTTTGGCCCCCAATACCAGACTGCCGAGTGATTGAGGCTCTTCTGACCGAGACAAGATGCAAAATTCAGCAATCACTCACACCCTCATGATTTGAATACATACAGTGGCGCGGTGGTGGTCAGCGACAGGTACCCAGTCGGGGAAGCGACGGTGTTACATTGAAAATTCCTGGACAATTCTTTCTACCTTGACCGCCAGATCGAAGACTTTCTCCGATCCCAGTTGAAGCACCAACAGTCGACTAACGCACTGCAGCCAAATTGGGCGTGGGCTTGCGACATCCTGTGGAATGCCTGTCCGATAATCCGCTTGGTATACCCACCTAGATTGTTCAACCAGAGTCCCCGATACCACAGTTGTTGGAACCAAAGCCCAAGTAAACCAGCATACATGGCTAGACGAAAGGCTGTTGCATTAGATTAACCGTCCCGACATACGTTCTTTTCACATGAGAAGTACACCAAGCGGCAGAATGATGTTGAAATCGCAACATCCTCAAGGCAGAGTTTCCCAACCTCCGCTCACAGCCCAAAACGCAAGTCTAGTTCGGATTCATTCCGTCTCTCTTGAATGCGAGGGGACGTGCGTTTGCCTAATCACCAAGGCAAGAAACCTCATCGCGGGTGGGAATACCAGGGATTCTCAACGTTGCTCTGTAACTCGGTCGGCTTGATAGGCATAGTGGGTGCCGGTTCTTCGTCGTGCACGGGTTGTAAACCGTTGTTTATTTCAGGCACTCTGGTTCCCTAACGCCTTGCAATGCTTTTGAATATCCCAAACTCCTAGTACACCGTCGCCCCGTCTTGAATCTACGGGTTCAAGGACATCTTCTTCTCGTTACGTCCGTCGGGAGTGTACCTGAAGTTACGCGTAAGAAGTCTGGAACAAAGCCGCCTAAGATACGGAGGAACATACTTGAGAAGCTTCTCGATAAGGTCAACGTGGGTCATGACCATACGACGGCAGCAGTAGCGCTTGAGGCCAAGCTGGTCCATGGCGTCGCTGTGTCAAGTGTCAATAATGCGCTCGAACATGCCTGATGAGGCCAGCCGCTCTAACTCACCCATCCGTAATGCCGTCGTCAATGAGCTTGAGGTAGCGCTCCCAAAGGTCGCCAGTGACCTGCGTGATTCGTCAGAGGCCGTATCTTGCGCGGAAGGGCGTCGCATCGACTAACCTTGCCACAGGAGAAGCAACGGACGGGAATGATCATCTTCGCGGTGTTTTCGGGGTATCAAGATGTCCGCTAATCGGAAGTCTGAGCGTGAAGCAGCGATCGGATTGGACGTGGAAAATTCGGTCGCGCAGTCAATCGCAATGGAATCGCCGTCGCCGAAGAAACTGTGAGGGTACCTCCGGGCGCGCTGCCTGCGGCGCGCTGAACAAAAATTTAGCGGTCCATTAGTTTATCCGCTTATCTTATCAGTGAGTGATCCACTGTGAGGATATCCACCAATTGCATGGCCCAGCGACTCAGCGGGACCAAAAAATTCCTGGGAAGCAACTCTCGAACTTTTTTTCTGGAAGGGTCGTGTGCGAGCGGAACAGAGCAGGAAATCCAAGCCAAATAGTCGAAGGTCGGCTGCAAAGTTATTTTTCCCTCTTTACCGCACCGAATCCAACAGCAGCCACTCTTTCTGCTATCTGTCGACCTTTGCACAAAAGAAAAATGGCACCCTCTACCCCGAGAGGTCGGGATGCCGACACGAAGAAGCGCAAGAGAGACCCCAGCGACAAGGACGGCCAGACGAAGCGCCTACGGCACAAGGGAAGCAAGCCTACGAATAATGGTGATACCGACTCTGGGGATCTTCGCGACAACGCCTTGAACGTTTTGTCGCAGCTCAAGAAGAATCTTACGGACGACCAAATCGAGACCGAGCTCTCCAACTTGGGCAATTCAGACCCCCAGGCGACTGGATGGCAGGTTTCCGCGCCAATGGGTGGCCGCATGGCCGATATCGACCCCATTTTCGTCGAGAAGGAGAAGTAAGAGCGCCCACGTCTTGTGTTAGTTGATCTGTCTGACGTGCGAATAGGTACTTGATCGTTACTTACAATACCTCTCTCCAAATCTACTCGGTTGCCGAATCCCTCCTTATCCGAAGAATTGCTCTCCCAGTGGTTCAGAATACGTATGGAGACAAGTCCAATGCGCCGAACATCGTGGCCACATGCCTCTCTCACACCAAGCCCGACTTTGTCTGGGTGGCCTGCTCCGACGGCAGAGTCTGGCGCGTCAACTGGAAGAAGGGAACCCAAGTCGACCGGGAGTTTCGCACAAAGTCGCAAACTGCGCTTGACATGTCAGTCGCAGCAATCCAGGGAGAGAAGAACAGCATCGAGGTCATCTACGTATCGGAGTCAACGGTGCAGTTGAAGGGCGAGATTGTGGCATACTCAGGGCCCGACTTTACGCAGCCGACATGTGAGATTCTCTTCACGACGAAGCAGGCAGAACAGACTATCCACCTGCTACGCTCAAGCACTGATGGCAAGACGGTTATTGGCGCCACAAGAGACAATCTTATTGTCGGAACAGTCACACCCAATGTCACCAAGACGGACCTTGGCTTGGAATGCGAGTTCTTTGCCTTCAACACGACCGATATCGTTTGCTCTCTCGACTTCAAGATTACCAACCGAGATGACGGCATTGTTGTTGACCTTATTGCCGGATGTGCTCGAGGTGCGATCTACTACTACAACGACATCCTCAGGAAGCTCCAAAACCTGAATGCGCCCAAGTCGAAGAGGGACAGCCTGCAAGGCCGCAAGTACCATTGGCACAGGAGAGCAGTGCATAGCGTCAAGTGGTCCAAGGATGGTAAGTGGTGACAAGACTCGATTCACTTTGGAACTTTGACTGACACTGTGGGTTCCAGGCAATTACATGCTCTCTGGCGGCTCTGAGAACGTCCTTGTTATTTGGCAGATGGACACTGGCAAGCTGAACCACTTCCCCCATCTTTCAGGAAGCATTGAAAACGTGGTTGTGTCGCCCGCGGGATCCTCCTACGCCCTGCACCTTGATGACAACTCCCTCATGGTTGTCTCGACCGCCGATATGGTTCCGAAAACTTACATCTCCGGCATCCAATCGGCCGCTCGTTTCACTTCAACACCCAAAGACTTGCTTGTCAAGCGCGTCTGGTCAGCCGACCGTGAGGTGCGCCACCATGTGCCCGCCGCTCTCAATCCGGCAGAGCCGTCGAGACTGTACGTCTGCACAGGTGCCGGTCAACAAGCCATGCTGGCTGGTGACCTACAGTCTGCGCCCTTGCTGCAGTCATTCGACATGGAGTCCTTCAGAAACGTCGCGAAGCAGGCCCTTGCGAGAACCCAGCCTACGGATGTCAACATCACGTCGAAGGGAAACCCAATCTCAGAACCCCGCATAACTCATGTCGCTTTCTCTCAGGATGGTGGCTGGCTGGCCACGGTTGACGACTGGCAACCACCTAAGCGCGACCTGGAGAAGATGGCCCCTGAAGCTCGCGAGGAGTTCGTCAGGGCGAGACGCGAGGTGTATCTCAAATTCTGGGCTGTCGGCGAAGATGACCAGCCTTTCGCTTTGTCCTCCAGGATCAACAACCCCCACATCACCAGCCGACCTGAGACTGTCCTGGATCTGGCTGCGGACCACACTTCGAATCGCTTCGCCACCCTGGGCGACGACGGTATGGCGAGGATATGGCATTCCAAGGTCAGACAGCAGGACGGCGTCGAATCCAAGGGCACATCCGGTGAAGTTTTGCAGTCCTGGTCATGTGCTGTTGCCGTGGCTTTGGGCAGCAGCGTGGGATCTGACGCTCTGGCAATCACTGGCGAGAACGCTGGTGAGCGCAGCGGCAGCCTCTGTTTCTCCGAGGATGGTTCTACCCTCTTCATCGCCTTTGGCAACTCAAATGACGGAACCGTCTACGTCGTTGACACCAAATCTGGTGAAATCAGGCTCACATTGGAAAACATGTGGAAGGGACATATTCGCCGCCTGCAAGTTCTCTCTCCTTACATCATCACACTCTCCGATGACGTGAGAGTGTATGATGTGGTTGCCGACGAGTTACAGTATGGCATCCAGCTGCCTCGCGGGCGCAATGCCAACATGACCAGAGAGTTCAGCCATTTGGCCATTGACCGCAAGTCAAGAACATTTGCCGTCATTGTACCCGGCGGCCAGGTCTCACAACTTGCTGTCATGAAGCCGGAAGAGCCAGAATTGCTCTGCGTCAAGCGCATTCCCCACAAAATCACGAGCTTAGTCTCTACAGGAAGCTCCTCTGGCTTTGTCGCAGTTGACGATTCGGCCCAGGTCTGGACAATTGCTGAGGCTTCCGACACTGCCGCAGTGGCTATTTCAAGACCACTCGAGGATATGCAGTTGGATGGCGAGCCTGTTGCGGAAGACGCCATCATTGAAGATGAGGAAATGGAAGAAGACGATGAGATGGCCGCTGATTACGAGGTAAACGGAGCTGGGGAAGAGATGGAATTGGACGATGATGACGCGCAGCCCGCCACCATCAACAGGCAGCGTCTGGCGGAGTTGTTCGACGCGGCACCAGCGTTTGCCATGCCGTCTGTCGAGGATATGTTCTACAAGGTCACAGGGATGCTGGCGACGAAACCTCTGGCATCATCATAGACTTAAAAGTTGTCAAAATTTGTTTAATATACCCAATAATAGACTGATTACAGGAACAATGTCGACTGTGCCGTTGGAGTTGTTGACTTTGGTCTCAGGGGACTAACACGTCATCCAATCAGGCCTAGTCTGGCCCGAAGACAGCCGTCCAATTTGTACCCCGCGGCTCCGATGCGGGGCATACCCCGACGCTCAGAGCCCCGCTGCCGCAGCACGCCATCCCGTCACGTCATTGGGAATTCAATAGCCATCGGCTTATTTGGCATACACGGTCGTACTTCCTTTCTTCCGATATCTGCATCTATCATACGCTCCTTACGCCTTTGCGTGCAGCACGTGCGGAGAACTCTGCTGCTATAAACGGCCCCTGGTGCATGTTGATGAGAATATCACCACAACTTCTGTGTCTCACTTCTTTGAACCTGTCTCATCGACACGATGTCTTTCACCTCCATTCCAGTCCTCGACCTCTCGTTGTCTCAGAATCCCAAAACGAAGCCTCAGTTCCTTGCAGACCTCCGCCATGCGCTGATGGAAGTCGGCTTTCTGTACCTTAAAAATGCAGGTGTCCCTGATGAGCTGTTCCAGAGGGTGATCAAGGAGGGAAAGGCCTTTTTCGACATCCCCACGGAAGAAAAGTACGGCATACTTCTTCTATATGGCTCACACACACGTTGAGCGAGACGCATCGGACGAACTGACATCTCACCAGACTCAAAATTGAGATGAAGAACGCCAAGTCCTTCCTGGGATACTCGCAACTCTCAGCCGAGATCACAGCTGGCAAGATAGACCACCGCGAACAAATCGACCTCTCGACGGAGCATCCAGTGCCAAGTGCCAAAGATCCTCTCTACTACAACCTCCTCGCACCGAACCAGTGGCCCTCAGAACAAGCCCTGCCCGGCTTCCGGGACACCTTCACAGACTACATGGACCGCATGGGCAAGATCTCCATCGCCTTCACTTCCCTCATCGCTGAGGCCATCGGCCTCCCGCCCAACGCCTTCAACAAATACTTCGACACAGACCAGCAGCACAAGCTCAAGATCGTAAAGTACCCCGACGTCAGCGAGCTGGGCATCGACGCGGCGTCGGGCGTGCAGGGCCAGGGCGTCGGCCCGCACAAAGACAGCATGCTGACGAGCTACCTCCTCCAAGCGAGCCACCACCGCGGGCTGCAGGCGCAGAACGTCAAGGGGGAGTGGATCGATGCGCCGCCCATCGACGGGACCCTCGTGGTCGCCATCGGGCAGGGGATGGAGGCGCTGACGCAGGGCGTCTGCGTGTCGACGACGCACCGCGTGCTGAGCCCCGGGCCGGGCGAGGGCGCGCGGTTCTCGATTCCGTTCTTCCAGGGAGTCAGGGGCGACGCGGAGTTTGAGGATCTGGAGAGCGTCGGGGTCGGGAGCGTGCCGGAGGAGGTCAAGGAGCAGAGGCGCCAGGTAATTGAGAAGAACGGGGGCCGGCTTGACGATGTCGAGTTTACGTTTCGCAAGGGCGGCGTGGCGAAGACGCTCGGAGAGGCGACGTTGAGGAACCGGGTGAAGAGTCATCCGGATGTT